GCCGCGGGCATGCCTGCCTGCCAGCCCACGGGCACAGGCGCGGCGGCGGCTGGCACCGCGTGGGCGGCCTGCCCTGCCACGGCGTGGCCGCCTCCACCCCCAGCGTGAGCGGGTGGTCCCACGAGGGCTCCCACCCCGGGGATCCCTGGGATCAGACCCGGCACCACGGGGCCGCCCAGGGCTGCTGGCGCTCCTGCTCCAGCGCCAGCGCCTCTGCCGCGACCTGCAGCGGGCGGCGGGGCGGCAGGCGGCTTGCCCATGCCGCCCATTGGGCCACCCATGCCGCCCATGCCGCCCTTGCCGCCCATCCCGGGCTTCGCCGCTGCCTTGCCTCCGCCTCCTGGTGCTGCGGGGCCTGCAGCGGCTCCGCCCGCGGCCGCGGCAGCTCCAGCGGCCACTCCGGCAGGCGGCGGCGGGAGCAGGGCGCCGACGCCAGGCGGCAGTCCCAGAAAGCCGCCCAGCACTCCGCCGCCGCCCACGCCGAGGAGCCCCCCGCCAGGGCCCAACCCAAGCGGGCCAGGCGGGGCGCCCGCGCCAGCCCCCGCGGCTCCGAACATCGCCACCGCCGTGCTGCCGCCGCGGCGGCGCGGGCTGGTGAGCTCCCCCAGCCGCCGAGGGGGGAGCTCACTCGGGCGCGGGCTCCTCGGAGGGGGTCATTCTGGGGACCCCCGCTTGCTTCTCTGACAGGGCTAATAGAAGCACCTCCACCGCGCACACCCTGCCGCAGGTTGAGCCGAGGCGGCTACGGAGAGGCGGTTTAGAGGAGATCGTTTCGAGGACGGAGGGGGGACGAGATAAAACCCATGAGAATCTCAAGGATATATATATATATATATATATATATATACGATCACACATACATGCACGCAGACATAACTTTACAACAAGCTTGCACAGATACGCAGAAGGTACGATGTGCACACATATCATGCGATTCTCAAAGCAGTGCTTGCCTGTAGGGACTCTTGGATAGCTTCAATGAACTGGGCCCGTCTGCGGGCCTGGCAGCCTCCTTCGCGTCCGTCGCCGCCCCATTGCTCCCGGGGGGGGGCATCTTCGGGCACACCCGTTCCCGTCCGTCGCCGCACCACATCGTTCTCACCACATAGCTCACAACGCGTAGATTCTCCTTTCTCAAAAGAGAATAGACTCTACCCCGCCCCCCCGCCCCCTCCCCGACCGTATTCGTTTCCCCTAGGGAATAACTACGTTTCATATATATATATATATATATTATTAAATATATATATATTATATATATATATACATATATATATATATATTCTGCACACACGCCCATCCTAAATATGAAATCATACCATCCCAGGCAGGCTGGTTTCCCCCCCCTGAGGGTCCCGTGTAAAAAACACTATGCGGTGACAATTGTTGTTCTAACATAGCACTTCTTCAAGAATCCCTTGCAAAAAAATGAAACGAAGTGCACACGCGCGAGTCGTCGCGCGCGCATGCCGAAATCCTTCTAAAACCTTCGGTGCCGGAAGGATTTCGCAATCGAGTTCCCCAGAAACATACAAAAAAACACATGGTTTCGCAACACTGATTAGCTAAAAAAGCTTCCGCGCGAGCTCTTGCGAAATCTTAAGGCAACCATCGGTTTTTCAAGATTTTCACAAAATGCTACCAAAGGGGCTTCGCGCGCGCATTTCGAAATCTGTCGAACGCCCTTGCGCGTGTGCCGTCGCGAGGATCCTCTGCAAAAGATGGGACGAAGTGCAGACGCGCGCGTGGTCGCGCGCGTACGCCGAAATCCTTCAAAACCCATCGGTTTCGGAAGGATTTCGAAATCGCGCGTCCAAAAAACCTACAAAAACCCAAGGTTTCGCAACACGGATTTTCAACAAAAGCGTGCGCGCGCGCTCTTGCGTCGTCGTCGTCGTCCTCCTCCTCCCTCCTCCCGCGTCGTTGTCGTCGTCGTCGCCTACGTCGTCCTCTGTCCTTCCTCGTGTTCGTCGTCGTCGTCCTCTTTGGCGTCGTGGTCGTTTCCGTCGTCGTTGTCGCCGTGGTCGTCCTTCCTCCTCCTCCCACGTCGTCGTCGTCGTCCGTCGTCGGCGTCTCGTCGTCGTCCCTCCTACTTCGTCGCCGTCGTCGTCGTCGTCGTTGTCGTCGTCGTCTTCCCTCCTCCCTCGTCGTTGTCGTCGTCGGCGTCGCCGTCCTTCCTCCTTCTTCGTCGTTCGCGTCGTCGCCGTCTTCCCTCCTCCATCGTCGTTGTCGTCGTTGTCGCCGTCGTCGTCCTCCCTCCTCCCTCGTCTTCGTCTTCGTTGGCGACGTCGTCGTCGTCTTCGTCGTCGTCGTCGGCGTCGGCGTCGTCGTCGTCTTCGTCTGTCGTTGTCGCGTCGTCGTCCGTCGCCGCCGTCGTCGTCGTCGTCGTCGTCGTCGGTGTCCGTTTGACGTCGTCGTCGTCGTCGTCGTCGGCGTCGTCATTGCGTCGTCGTCGCGTCGTCATCGTCGTCGTTGTCCGTCGTCGTCGTCGTCGGCGTCGGCGTCGTCGTCGTCGGTGTCGTTGGTCGTCTTTTGTCTCGTTGTCGGTGGAGTCGAAGTCCGTTGGAATACGTCGTCGTGTCGTCGTAGTCCCGTTGTCGGCGGCGTCGTCGTCGTCGTTGTCCGCTGTCGTGTCCGTCGTCGGCGTCGCTGTCGTTGGCAAGTGCCATTTGGTACCCACCGTCACGGCCTTAAGAGATTTTGCGAACCAAGTTGCGGGTGGGTGGGTGGGATGTTTGCGCGAGCACTGGAGTGGTCAAGCGCGGTGCAGGGTAGTCAATTGCACCACATAGCTTGCACCACATAGCGTGAACCACATAGCATGACCCACACAGCTTGCACCACGCACATTGCACCACATAGCCTGACCCACACAGCTTGCACAACGCACATTCAACCACATACCTTGCACCGCATAGCTTGCGTCACATAGCTGGCACCACATAGCAGCGTGCACCACATAGCTTGCACCGCCTTGTTGCATTAGCGAATACATATATATATATATATATGGAACAAAAGCTGACTGTTGGTGATATACGCTGGCGAACGTTTCCTGCGCACACACGCGCACGCCTTTACATACATAGCACACATATATACATGTATATACATATGTGTATAGATAACTGCACCGTCGCTACCCAAGACTCATCAACAAGTACCAGGAACACCAGAGAAGGCAAGACTCCAGAAGCAGAAGCAACCAAGCATGGCTCCCAGCAAGCACCACGCGCTTTTTATCACCGCGAGTGCCCCGGCGGGATCACCGAGAATGCCCGCCCTGCTGCCAGCGGCCGGCCCGGACGCGCAACGCCGTCTCACTCGCCGCCCGGCAGGGAGCGAATGATGTCGGAGTCGCCTGGCACGACATGGCGAGCGGCACTCCAAAGACGAGGCCTTGTGACGTGGGGACCCTTGGCGAGGAGGCCCCGAGCAGCGTAAGCTCAGACTGGAAGGCGGTTCCCATCCTCGGGGCCACATCCTTCAGGGCCCCATCTTCGAGCCCCCGAGGCGAGACGGACCACGACGGCTCGGGCCCCTGATCAGCCGTACCCAGCTGATCCCTCCTGACCTCCGCCAGCCTCCTCGTCGGAGGTCAGGGGGGCCAAGGAAGGGGACGGCGACGACGAGGACGAGACGGGGAGGAGGGCGACAACGACGACCAGGATTCGGTACTCTGGGGTGACCCCCGGGCGCTAGCAGATGCTTCGCGCCGAGCGGCGACAGGCAAACGAAAACAAAGCTTCGTAGGCTTACGTTCGGGCCCGCACACCGCCCCAGAGAGACTCTTTGGCTGGTGGGATTCGGGGGCAACTACTGGGAGGCTTTTCGTCGGAAAATTAAAGAGGATTAAGCCCCAGTTGGGAGCTGCTACGCCCAGATAAAAAAAAAGAAAAAAATAAAAAAAAAACAAAAAGAGAGAATGAAAGAAAAAAGAAGAAGAAAAAGACAAAAAAAAAAGAAAAAGAAAAAGAGAAAAAAAACAAAAAAAAAAAAAGAAAAACATACAAAAAAAAAGAAAGGTTGGGCCTCGGATCAAGCGGGATGAAGCCGGATTAAGCGGGATGAAGCCGGATTAAGCGGGATTAAGCGAGATTAAGCGGGACTAAGCGGGAATAACCCGGATTAAGCTGGATTTCGGACCGGGGCAAAAACAGAATGTGACCTCCCAGGAGTTGCATCCGAAGTGGGAGGATGAGGATCAGCAGGAACAGGAATAGAAGCAGGAGGACACCAGCAGGGCCCAGTGGCATACCCGTCTCTCGCATTGTCCCCAACCACTTTCACTCGCACTCTCCCCATACTTGCGCTTTCTTGACCCCCAATCCCACATCCAATCATCCCCCCTGCCCCCTCTGTCCACCCTTCCTCCTCTCCGCTCTTCAATATTGTCGTCGTCCTCGTCGTCGTCCTCCTCCTCCTCCTTCTCCACCTCCCCCTCCACATCATCACCATCACCATCACAACCACCACTGCCACCACCACCACCACCACCACCATCATCATCATGATCATCATCATCATCATCATCATCATCATCAGCATCAGCATCAGCATCATCATCATCATCATCATCATCATCATCATCATCATCATCATCATCATCATCAACAACATCACCATCATCACCATCGTCATCGCCATCATCGCCATCACCACCACTACCGTCACCAGCACAACCATGAGCACCACCAGTGCCATCAACATCATGACCATCATCGTCGTCGCCATCATCATCAGAAGCATCATCATCATCACAATCAACATCATCACCACCACGACCATCATCATCATCATCATCATCATGATCATCATCATCATCATCATCATCATCATCATCAGCAACATCATCAACAAACAACAACGTCAGCAACAACAACAACAACAACAACAACAACAACATCATCATCATCAATCCGACTGCCGGTCGAAACAAAACATCCCTTGCCCTCTCCCCTGCCCCAGTCGGCTGACGGACTGCCCGGCCGGCCGGTCGCCCGGATCGGTGATGGACAGGCAGCTGACGCGGTAGTACCTCCGTGGGTCAGGGCAGGACGGCGGGGAGCGGGGGAACAAGCGAAGGAAGACAGGAGGGAACAACGAGACGGGGTGTCAGGGACGGAATCATGAGCGCCGTCCGCCCCTGATC